AGCCACTACCCCTCTGCTCCCCGAGCAGCTCCTGTTCCAGGGTGTCAGCTGTGGGCGTGTGGTCACAACTCCTCCTTCCCTCCAGGTGACCTGGCACCACTGGGCCATGTTCCTGTCCTCCTCAGGCCAGGTCTGGTCCCCGCACAGTGCTCAGTGGGATCACTGGTTGACTGCCTCCCCACCTGACCAGGTGCAGGCTCCTTCAGGACCTGCCTGCGGTCAGCCCATGTGGCCCCGCACGAGGCTGTGAGGCGGCAGCGTTCAGGCCTGAAGCCCGTCAGCATCCCCAGTGGACCTCCTCGTCACAGCCTGACGCTGAGAAGAACAGGAGGTCCACGCAAGGACTCACGTGCCTTCTCCTGTGGCATTTCATGTATTAGTTGCTTATCAGAAAGAAGAGCTAAGTAGAGGCTATTCTAAAATGTCAGCAGCTACTTGAAGCAGGTATTTCTCGGAGAGCAAGCCCCTGGGTAGTGTTGAGTCCCTCCTGCCCTCGGGGGAGTGGGAGGGGCCAGGGGTGACCGGGAAGGACAAGTCAGACCAGGCTGCTTATCCTCCACGTGGGTACTGATGCTGACAAGGGAGGCCTCCCAGGGTCCAAATCTTGGCAGGACACCCAATTTCAGCACCAAAGCCAGGACCCGCTGTGCCCCAGGACACAGGCCGACGAAGCCTCCGTCTCTCTGCCCTGGCTAACAGTCTCTGAGGGCACGGAGGTGAGGGCAGCCACAGGCCGCTGGGGGCCCCACTGCGCCAGGGCCTGTAGCAAGCAGGCCTCAGTCCATGTTACCTTCCTCATGATCTTCCGGCCGTAAAACATCACTTTGTCTCTCTTCCGGAACCTGTACTGAGGAGTGGGCTGTACTTGTCCTGCAAGGGGAGCAGAGGGGCCTCCTGAGCCACGGCTGGGACACGGCTGAGGTGGGAGGGTTCTGCCAGGCAGCCCATAGGGTGTGCACACCGAGCCTGTCCTGTCCCAGCTCCAGCATACAGTGCGGGGCAAAGGCACGTGGCACCTTGGGCCCGGGCCGGCACCGGCCAGCTCCCAGGGAGCAGGACTCGCGTCTCCTCTTACCAAAGTTTTGCTCAGAAATGTGAGCCAAGAAAGCTGGGGACATACGTAAACTCCATGGGTCCGACATGCACAGCCTCAGCTGCAACAGGCTGGCAGTTCCCAACAAAAGCTATCATGGGCCTGAGGGCTGCTCCCAGGAGCTCAAAACATGGGCATGTCACCCAAACCTCCCCCGCCCTCCCAAGCCCTCGTCCCTTACCCCTAGAGCTGGAGTCTGAAGTGAGATACTCACGGAATCGGTTAACCCTTCTGTACACAAAGAAGACAGTGATGCCAACGAGGGCCAGGGCCAGGAGGGCTCCAATCACAATCCCCATCAGCTGGGCAAGGTCACAGACAGAGCACCCGTCAGCAAGACTGCCACGCTGCCCCTCCCTACCCTGGCAACAGGCTGTGACAAAGGGGCCAGGAGCAGCCAGGAGTGCAACAAGCCACAAACCCCAGGGCCCGCCCGTCACCAGGAAGCACTTGAGGCGGTTACCATGGCGGACTGTGAATGCTGCTCCGTCAGCTGCAGCCCCCAGGACTGCAGGGCAGCCCCCAGACAGAAGTCGGCCTAGGGGAGAACACTGTGGTCAGGAAGGGCCAACAGGACGTGGCCCTGGCTTCCCAGAGCAGCAAGAAGAGAGCTGCTGGTTAGGGAAGAAATGATCTTCTCGGCTCCTAAGGTCCTCTGAGCACACCTGCTCAGGAGACAGAGAAACCGGTCTCCCGTGGCACCCACGGGACACGGAGTCAGGCAGCTGGGCAGGGCCAGCAGCTGTGCTGTGTTGACCACAAATACCCTAGGCATTTTTATTGCATGTGAATCCTAAATTTTCAGCTTTCCAGTCCTTCAGACGCAAGCCTAGAGGAGCAGGCCCGGCTGGCCACAGGGGCACGAAGGCCATCACTCGGTGCCCTCTGATCACCAACAGGACTGTGCGCTGCTGGCCTCAGGGCACATGGGAGCCTACACCACAGCAATGCAGAGAAACCCCAAAGAGCCACGGATTTTGGGATTTTCTGTATTTTGAGAACCTTGAATACCAGCTCGTAGCAGGGAAAGGTTATGTGCCTGCTCCCTACCACCTCCCAGGGAAGGATTTAGTGGGGCTTCAGAAGCTCAGACCCAAGGGAGGGAGGAGGAAGAGAAAAAACTGAGCACAGGATGGTGAACGGGCAGATGGCTGGGGCCACCCACACAGAGAATATTGGCTGATTCCTCAAAAAGACGAAAACGAGCAAGAGAAACCAGCCAAACAAGCAGCCACTCTGCATTGCCCCCAAGCAGTCAGGAACAGGATGGGGCAGGGGGCACCTGTTAATCCTTTCAAGTCACAGGTGCCAAGGACTAAAGTATCCTGTCTGATCCTTATCGAGAGAGCACCAGACACAGCATGGATGCCAGAAAACCCAATGAAATGGAAGGGCATTCAGAAAAAAGTCTTAAAAGCAGAATGTTGCCACAAGACAGGATAAGTACGTGGCCCAGAAAAGCAGGTCTTTGAAGTTGGTTCAGCAGGCAAATGGAAGCAGTGGGAGCTTTTTGCTTCAGAGCTGAGGCATCCAGCCCCTCCTGGCCCCGAGTGCTCAGCTGTCAACATGACAGCACCCACGACCGACCCACTCGTCACTTAGGTGTGTCCCCTGGAGCTCAGCCACCATGTCAAGGACAACCAAGGATAACCAAGGAAAAGGTCACAGAGGTGGCCCGTAACCGAATTATACAATCTTCTATATTGAGCATCTCAGGCTTTTCATGATTGTTTTAATGCATCCACTTTTCTGCTTTAGGAATACAGGCCTTTGCGGTATGGCTACAGATGTTCCACAGAGAAAAGACTCGCGTCGAAGGAAGCAGAAGTCCTAAGGGGAAGCGGGAACTGACAGTTGTGACCTCGGGGGAAGAAGTGGCAGGGTCTCGACTCTGACAAGGGGATGGAGGGGCCCAAGCTGCCACTCCCATTCAGCCGACTTCAAGGAGCTGCCCACAGAGCAAATCTCCTGGTCCAGAAATGCCCCTAACTGGGAATTCTGAGGCTCTGAATCATCCCTGGAACCCTCCAGTTCCATACCTCTGGGCTGGCATCCTCCTCTTGCTTCATGGCTAAAAGTGAAAAAACAAACAAACAACAGTCAAGGTGAAAAGAGGAAAGACTGGTTCAAAGGAGGGCAAGCGTCCCCCCAGCTCACGCTCACGAGGCAGAGCAATGCTTTCAGCCTTTCCTCCTGGGCTCCTTTTTTCTTTAAATTACGTCTGCACTGAAAGGAAAATCCTGACGGAAAGCTGTGTTCTCCAGGAAGGGACGCACCAGAGCCACTCTCCTCTCTGTAAACAGCTCTCCCGGGGCTGCCCAGGAGCCCAGAACTGCAGCCAAGTCCCGCTCCTCTCCCAGCGGGGCGAGGGCAAGCGTGGACTGCTCCGCCAAGGCCTGGTGCCGCCAGGAGCTCCCAGGGCCACAGGGAGGAGGCTGTGGCTGGGGCCGGGGTAGGGGTGCACGGGGCCCCGCAGGGCAACTGTGAGACACCCCAGGGGCCTGCCTCAGGGGGGTTCCTATCCAGTGGGGTCAGGTCCAGAGGAGGATGAACTTGGGGAGCCGGTTCACCTTGCCCCCGCCCAGTGGGGAGGCGCCAGGTCTGGGGCTTTCACCCCGTGGCTCCCGGGCCCCTTAGGAAAGCAGCAGCAAGAGAAGACTCTTCTCTCCCCAAACCCCACCCAGAGAGGTCAGGACGCAGATGCAGGGTCATGGTGCATTTGCTGCTGGGTCGAGTGTCCTGCGTCCTCTGCCCCCCACGTGGAAGACCCTTCCTGGGGGCGCCCGGGTGGCTCAGATGGCTAAGCGTCTGCCTTCAGCTCAGGTCACGATCCCAGGGTCGTGGGATCGAGCCCCGCGTTGGGCTCCCTGCTCGGCGGCGAGTCTGCTTCTCCCCCTCCCTGTGCTTCTCCCCCTGCTCATTCTCTCTCTCTCTCTCTGTCTCTCTCTCTGTGTCTTGAATGAATAAATAAAAAAAAAAAATCTAAAAAAAAAAGAAAACCCTTCCTTCTCAGATGAGGCTCCTGAAGGGCCAGCAGTGCCCCTGACCCCAGCTCTGGGGCCTGCTGCCGTCCCGCCCGAGCGTCCGAGGTGCGGCAGGGCTCGTGGTCCCCAGCACCTGCTGGGGGACAAGGAGCCGGTCACTGCTTCTCTGCCGGGACAGCACAGGGCCCGACGGCAGCGGGCGGCCGCGGGCTGCCAGGCTGCGGAGCGGCCGGTGAGGGAGGCACCGGGGTTGGGGGCCGTCCAGGTTGGGGGTGTCATTTTAGGGGGCCGTCGGGGTCGGGGTGCCGAGCGTTGCGGCTGTGGCCGACGCCGGGCGTGGGAGCCAAGGGGGCGGCGGCGTTGAGGCGGTTTGGGAACAGCGAGGCCGGCGGGCTGGGGGCTGACGGGCGTCAGGGCCGGGGAACCTCGGCGCTGGTGGCTCGGGGTCGACGGACGTCGGGGCTGGGAGGGGTGGTCCACGTCCGGGGGACCGAGAGGACACGGGATCCGCCTCCCGCCGCGCAGCGCGAGGCCGGGGGGACCTGTGGGGCAGGCTGCGTCCCGGCAGCGGCTGGGGGCGCTGATGGCCCCCGTGCCCACAGGGCACCGCCACCCCGGGCACTCGGCGGTGACTCACCGGGACCGCGCGCTCCCGCCGCCCGCGCCCCCGTCCCTACCCCCGCCGCCCGGCCGCGGACGCCGCACCTCCCAGCGCATTGGCCGGGACCCGGAGGCGCCGCCCACTCGCAGGGCCGAGGCTGTGCATTGGACGCAGCGCCGCCAACCGCAGCTGCTCTTGCTGCGGCGCGGAGGCCGGGGGGCGCGGGAAACCGCCGAGAGCCCCGGAAGCCGCGCTGACCGCCGGGAGCCGCGGAGGGCGCCGGGAGCCGCGCTGGCCGCCGGGAGCCGCGCTGACCGCCGGGAGCCGCGGAGGGCGCCGGGAGCCGCGCTGGCCGCCGGGAGCCGCCGAGGGCGCCGCGGCTGGTCGCGGCGCGTGGGGGCTGTCTGGGAGCGCGCCCGCGTGGTGCAGCCTTCGGCATGGGCCTCCTGAGCGGGGCTGCGCGCATCCTGGTGCGCGGCGCCGACCGCATGAGCCGGTGGACCAGCAAGCGGGGCCCGCGCACCTTCTACAAGAGCCGCGGCGCCAAGGGCACCGGCGTCCACGGCCGCGACGGGAAGTTTGTGCAGATCAGGGAGACGGTCCCGGAGCTGGTGGTGCCCGAGCTGGCCGGCTTCAGGCTCAAGCCCTACGTGAACTACCGCGCCCCCGCGGGCGCGGACACGCCCCTGACGGCCGAGCGGCTGTTCCGGGAGGCGGTGGCGCCGGCCGTCGAGAAGGACCTCCGGGACGGCACCTTCGACCCGGAGCAGCTGCGGAAGTACGGCTTCGAGCCCACCCAGGAAGGCAGGCTCTTCCAGCTGTACCCCAAGAACTTCCCGCGCTAGGGGCGGCGCGCTCGGCTTTGGCGTCTGGCCGTCGGGAGACGAGAGGACCTAGAGGCCCCACGCCGGCGACACCGGAAGCCGTCGCCTGCCGACCGCAAGGGTTTGGGGCCAGGACACGTGGCTTAGCTTGTAAAAGGAAGAGGATTCACGAGGCACGTCGCGCCACGGGACAGCACCGGCTAATTCATCGCCCGGATTCTCCACCCCACGAAAGCCGTGCGCAGCCTGTATGGGTTCAGAAGCAGCTGCTGTGGGGCCACACCGCCAGGAGTCTAGTCCCCTCGTCCTTTGGGTGCGCCTGTTTCCGTGCATAGTCCCTCCGGCCCTCTGTATTCTGCGTAATACTTGATTCTTAGGTGAAATGCCGTTAAACTCAAAGGAGGGTTCAAATGCTTCTATTGAAATAAATGCGCCGTCAGCTGGGAATCGACCGTTTTAGCATAGTAATTTCCTACCTGTTCTCACCTATACTTTCATCAGAAAATAAAGCAAGAAACAGAAGTGTGTTTTCTGGGATGTCTGGGTGGCTCGGTCCATTAAATGTCTGCCTTCAGCTCAGTTCATACTCTCGGGGTTTGGGGCTGGAGCCCTGCCTCAGGCTCCCTGCTCAGCAGGGGTGTCTGCTTCTCCCTCCGCCTGCCCCCTTTGTTCTTGCAAACACTCTCTCTCAAAGAAATAAAATCTTAAAAAAAAAAAGCGTGCATGTTTTCTGACTCTGAACACCTACTTAGGATATTAGTACCTACTGGAGATTTGACAGACTCCACGCTGGCCTGCACTTCAAGGTCTGTTTCTTCCAGAGAGACAAGGATGAAGTGTGTGGGCCTCAGACGAGTCACAAATTCAGTTATGTGTCCAGGCTTTGGAAGCCACTCGGGTACTACAGCTCCAAGGGGGAAGAGGGATTAATCCACCACGCTAACCTGTTTCAAGTTTATGACACCATAAGGCAACTCAATGTGTGTACACTTACCTTTGCTTGTACAGCACAGGAGACAATATAAGCACGTCTGGTGCCAGGATGAGGTGATCTTTTTAAATGTTCATGTAAAACTGTTAAGTAGCTTGAAGGAAAAGCACACTTTCAGGGCGCCTGGGGGCTCAGTCGGTGAAGCATCTGCCTTCAGCTCGGGTCATGGTCTTGGGGTCCTGGGATTGAGATCTGCGTGGGGCTCCCTGCTCAGCGGGGAGTCTGCTCTCTCTCCCTCTGACCCTCCCTGTTTGTGTTCTCTCTCTCAAATAAATGAAATCTTTAAAAAAAAAAAACAACACACACACACTTTAATTTAGCTAATTTACATAAGTACAAAGAACTGAATGTCTCAATTCACACAAGAAACTGACAAGTGTGAGCTGGGAACCAAAACCCTTCCACTCCCACAACAGCAGACTCCTTGCTATCAGGCAGAGTCACCATTTGCCCCAGCAGATAAGGTTCATTTAGGAAGCCAACAGCTTCTTTGTTCACCCTGTAGAGCCCATAAGGTGCACTGAGCCCTATACAGTCACCTGTGGTGTACAGGAAGACTCTCAAGGAGATGGTCTGAGGGCAGTTCACTCATAGAGTCACACTCTGGGTTTTATTTGTGGAAATGGTCTTTATGACCTCAACCAAACTCTTCCCTAGCTCAGCTGCTCTCCCATTTCCAGAGATGAAGAACGTGATCATAAAAGGAGCAGGTAGCTAGGAGGTCAATGTCCAAGCTCGCTGCTTCCAGAGAGAGGTCACAGTCCCAGCCCTTGTGCCCTGCAGCACGGCACCAGCTGCCGCTCTTCATCATGTCCTCTGTGAGTGGATGGAGAGGCGTCTTCGGTCCACTGCCGCTCTCAAGTTTGGAATGACACTCTTCCTCATCCTCCGCTAGATGAGGAGAACAGGCTGCTGGTGACTGATGTACAGCCTTCAGGTTGTAGAGCTGTGAGGCTTTGGCTCCTAAGTTGCTGTAGGGAAAGGCCTCTAAGCAGCACGGCTGGTGGGTCTGTGACAGATTGCCAAAGTAGAGCCAGGACCAGTCAGCTCCATACACCAATGAGCTGGGCAATGTATGGGACACAGAGACTGTGCAGGCTTCCTGCTTCTCTGGAATGAGACAAAACATGTGACGTTACCCAGGGCTGATCTCATCGCTTCCAACCGATGGCCCCTGCCCACTCTTCAAAGGGAGACTCTGCTAAAAGCAGCCATTCATTTGTCAGCAACCACTGTGTATCACACAAAGGGATCCTTCAGCCGTGGACGGGTGAGGAGAAGACAGACCTTCACTTGCAGGGAGTGCACCGTGTGTGCACCTGCGGGAGAAATCAGCCCGGCTACAGAAACACAGGGGCGAGGGTGCCTTTCCAAGCTGGAGGACTTGGCAAAAGTCTCTTAGTGAAGACTTCAAAGCAAAGGACAAAGGAGGTAGCCAGATGGGAGCAACAGGGATGCATGAGAAACAGAGAACAAGCATGTGTGAAGTACAGAGATAGAACAGGACACATCTGGGCAACCACAAGTGCCCGTGGCTGAAATGCCGTCAGGGAGTGGCGACACATGTCTGGAGGGTGACAATCGCGCAGAGTCCTGCATGCTCCATAAAGTCTGGGTGTGAGTTTGGAAAGGAGTCACTAAAGAGTTTAAGCAGTTTTCCTTATGGTGAGTTGCTGTGGCAACTCTGAGGATGGAGAGCAGGACTGGAAAGAGGTCCAGCTGTAGAAGGCTTGAAGCAACGTTAACACAGAAAGAAATGACAAGGTGTTGCCAAACCTGAGATAGTCTAGGGTCCAGGGCAAGGCCCAGGATGGCAAGAGCAGCTACAGGAAACTAGTGGCCAGTGACCAGGGGTGTGGACTTAGAAAACTGTCACCAGCTGGAAGGCCTGGTGGCCAAAAATCGAGGGAAGTACCCAAAAATCAGTAGGGACATGTGGCACACACAGGAGACGGCTTTAGGGGGTTTTCATGAGAAAGCTCTAGGATGATGTGAACATTATAATGAGTAATGACAATAACACTGTATAGCCCACTGAGTAACATAAAAGCCATGAATCTATGTGGATAATTAATAAATACAGATATAGGGGCACCTGAGTGGCTCAGTCGTTAAGCGTCTGCCTTCGGCTCAGGTCATGATCCCAGGGTCCTGGGATCGAGCCCCGCATCGGGCTCCCTGCTCAACGGGGAGCCTGCTTCTCCCTCTCCCTCTGTCTGCCACTCTGCCTACTTGTGCTATCTCTGTTAAATAAATAAAAAATCTTTCAGTAAATAAATAAATAAATACAGATATATGGGAGAAAAAAAAGCTCTTCCTTATAAAAGAATGCTAATTTTAAAATGTAGAAGAAATAGTAATAGGGGACGCCTGGGTGGCTCAGTCGTTAAGCATCTGCCTTCGGCTCAGGTCACGATCCCAGGGTCCTGGGATTGAGCTCCTCCCCCTCGACATTGGGCTCCCTGCTCTGCAGGGAGCCTGCTTCTCCCTCTCCCTCTGCCCCTGCTTGTGTTCCCCCTCTCTAACAATAAATAAAATCTTAAAAAAAAAATTGTAGGGCGCCTGGGTGGCTCAGATGGTTAAGCGTCTGCCTTTGGCTCAGGTCATGATCCCAGGGTCCTGGGATCGAGTCCCGCATCGGGCTCCCTCCTCCTTGGGAGCCTGCTTCTCCCTCTGCCTCTTTCTCTCTCTCTCTCTCTCTCTGTCTCTCATGAATAAATAAATAAAATCTTTAAAAAAAAATTGTAAAAAAATAATGAACAACCAGACAAAATCAACAGAACACGTGAACAGGATCTGCAGAGCACTCTACCCACGGTCATAGAGCAAACTCTTCTGAAGAGCACACGGAACGCTCTCTGGGACCGACCACACACGAACCCACAAAACGAGTCTCAATAACTTAAAAGGAATCCATGAAGGAATAAAATTAGAAATCAGTAACAGAAAGAAATTTAGGCCAGTCACAAAAATGTGGAATGGAACAATACACTCATAAATAACTAATGAGTCAAAGAAAAAAATCACAAGGGAAATTAGAAAGTACTGTGAGATGAATGAAAACATACCACACCCCAAAATTGATGGAATGCAGCGAAAGCAGTGCTCAGAGGACAACTTCTTACTGTAAATACCCACGTTAACATGCAAGATCTCACAAGGCTTCCAGATGAGAACTGCACGTTCGCGTCACTACCAGAACCGATGCGCGCAGTTGGGGGAACTGAAAACAGAACAGGAAGCCCGGAGCACAGGCCCGTGCAGAGGAGACTGGGCTTCAGAGCAACACTGGCCAGGTGGTGTCTCTACTCACTTCTTTGTACGGACAAGGAGGGAGGGGGATCACAAACAGAACGAGGAGGGAAAGGGGGCACTGGCGGCTTGAGAAAAAAGAAAACGTGAAAAAGTTCTGACAGTAAAGAATGGCTGGCAGGAGAAAGGCCACAGTTCGCCTGGCAACTCCAAGGACCCACTGTAACAACAACCTAAAGTGAGACCCCACAGGGTTACTCTTTCCCTCCAGCCCCCTTGTGTGGCTCAGGCCCAAGCGGAACTGGGTCTGACCAGTGCTGGGTGCTGCCCAGAGAGAGTGAGCAAGGGAGCAAGGGGAAGGCAGCTGAAGCATGTGTTGGGAACATGAGAGCACACAGACCACCACACTGTGCGCAGGCAGGAAGAACGTGGCAGGAGGTGGGCCAAGGACGGCTCTGGAATGCTTCTGGAGCAGAGTCCTAAGAGGGCAGAGAACAGCTGAACGGCAGGAGGTATCAGAAGAACTGAGCTGGCCAGGTAAGACCCACGGCTAGGGAGCAGAGTGCTGCAGACTGAGGTTCGAGGCTGGCCCAGTTACGGGCCTTGGTGAGATGGTGGTGTGAGCCTGGGGATGTGCAGAGCAAGGGGGCAGGAAAACTGGGAACCCCCACCCCAGGCCTGGCTGCCAAGGGGCCCCTACTCACCTATCGCCTTTTGGCAGTTGAAGATCTTAAAGCCACTGTGCATGCACGCTGCCAGGAGCAGGTGATGGTGGAAAGGGTGCCACTTGAGCCTCCACACTCCGCCTTGCGTGGGCATGTCTGCGAATGGCTGCTTCATGCTCCGAGTGTCCCATAGTAGAACATGCTCATCATAGCTGAAACCCACCGACCATAGGGATCACGCAGGAAAACCAATGCCCACTTTTCCCCCACGGCCCCCAGGTGGCAGGGGACACTCCTGGAGAAACCCATACTACTCATTCCTCTAGGTCAAAGTCCCTTTCCCCAAGCCCCCCAGATAACTATACTCTGGTATAAGAGTTGGTCCAATTCAACAACATTGCAATGGTCAACATGAGAAAAGGGAGTGAAAGATGGAAGGCAGACCCCTGTGACCCAACCCTAAGGGACTCACCTTCCTGTGGCCAAGATGTTCTCCCGATGGGGACTACTCTGGATGCTGCATACACCCATGGAGTGTCTGTGGGCAAAAGTGCAAGGCCTGAGCAAGCTCCCACGCAGGGGCACGTCTCCAGTGGAGAGTCCACGGAAGGAGGACAGGAGGGTTGGTGTTATGTGCCGAGGGCTAGCCCTTGATAATCTACCTCTTGCTAGTGAACACAGATGTGCCCGGTGTCCTGGTGTCCCAGCCTTTCAGAAGGGCGTCGTCCCCACCTGCGTGGGAACAGAAAGATCCACTGACAACAGGAGGCAGCCACTCCTCTGGGAGGGAATTTATGCCCATGGGGCAATCCCTGTGGATGACTCTTCCTGGGTGATTTCAGGTTGCCACCAGGCAGGAGAGCCCTATGCTAGAACTGTGTCTTCAGACTTGGAGAGGGCCTCCACGGGGAAGACAGGAAAGGCTGGGGGGCTCAGGCTACAGGAATGAAAGGGAAGCCCAAGAAGTCAGGGAAAGAATTTCCAGGTCACAACATGGCTAAAGTGGCTTCTCTTTAGACTCCAGCAATCGATGCTCCTGGCTGCCGCAAACCAAAGTTGCCATATCAAAGAACTCTGAACCAGAACTGCATGCAGGAGGCAGCAAACATGAGCACTTCTTGAGTTTCTGGAACCTTCAGCACACCCCCATGCGTTTTAAAGGGAAGTGCCCTTTGTAACCTTACAGTAAAGAGGACCCCTGCTTGTCTTGGGGAACTGAAAAAATAGGAAGAAGGGGGAGCTGGCACCATAATGCACCGTCTCTGAAGAAAAGCAACAACAAGACACAGGTGCTGGTGGCTATCTAGAAGGAAGGGGAGCAAGGCTGAAAAGCAGGGCCCACAGGGAGGATGAAGAGGAGCAAAAGAAAAACATCTGGGTCTGATCACTCCATCCACCCATCCACTCAACCGTCTATGCTTCCATATACCCACCTGCCCACCACCTATCCACCTTCCATTCATCTACCTGCCCATCCAACAGGTGTTACTGAGCACACTACAGACCCCTGTAACAGACAGAAGGGTTACGGGGCGAACATGACCTACAACTAAGCAGACCAAGAGAACCAGTGCACCAGCATGATGCCTGCAGGTGAGCCTCCAACACGAGCTGCAATCCTGTGGCACAGTTACAGAGAAAACTGGTAGTGGCTTCTTCACACGCGGGTCTCTCCTGTCTCACACCCGTGTTCATCCTGCACACGTACATCCGAGTCCTACCACTTTTCCCTTGTGTGCACTACTCCCAACTTGGTCTGAGGCCTTCTTGCCACCACCCGCATGGCAGGTCTCCAGGCTCTGCCCCCACCGCCTTGCAGTCTCTACTCAACACATTAGAGAAGAAAATTCCCTTCAACTCTATGATGTAAGTCAGAAAATGTCATCCCTCTGCTCAACATCCTGCTATTGTTCCTATTTCATTCTGAGCAAAAGCCAAAGTCCTTCCTGTGGCCTGCTCTCACTACTTCTGTTCTGCCACCCCTCCCACCGTTCTGGTCCTGCTGCTCTACTTGTGTAGCAGGCTCACTCCTGCCCTAGGCCTCTGCCTACGGTGACCATGCTCTGGTCGACCTTTCTTCTTCCCAAAGCATTTATCACCTCGGAGCTACTGTGCCCTCTGTTCACTCATTGTATGCTATGCTCCATGACTGCTGCCCACCTCTCAATGCAAGCTCAGTGGAAGCAGGGACTTTTGTCTGTCTCGTTCACTCATGGATCTCAAGCACCCAGAACAGTGCATGGCACATAGTAGATGCTCCATAAACATTCACTGAATAAACGAGTTGGTGCTGAATTATTAAATCATAGCCCCCACCATACCCTTGCTCTGAATTAGCTAAGCCTCAAGGTAATACTAATCCAAGAACGAGAAGACCTAAAAAAACTAAATCTTGGGTTGCCTCACTGGCTCAGTCAGAAAAGCATGCAACTTTCAGGGTCGTGAGTTTGAGCCCCACCCTGGGTGTAGAGATCACTTAAAATACATAAGAAAAATTTCCTTAAAAGAAAGAGAGAGAGAAAGAAACAAAGAAAGAGAGAGAGAGAGAGAGAGAGAGGTCTGCTTAAGCAACCAAAATGCAGCTGTTTCTGGAAGACAAGAGACCGTAGCTGAAGTCAGGAGAGCAACAGTGCAGCGAGAAAAGGGCACCAGACAGACGCCAGAGGACACGAACACTTTCAAGCAGAGGGGAGGAGCCAGCAAAGTAGAACGAAGAGCAATCAGAAAGAAGAGGAAACGTCCAAGGCAACCCAAGGGAAAGACGGCACCAGGACAGGGTCAGCACGGGAACGTTGCTAAGGGAGTGCTCTCTGGACCAGGCCACTGAGGAGCGGAGTGAGAGCGGTTCCGGCAGAAAGGCGGGGACCATGCAGCCCCCTACAGTCCAAGAGAACGTCCCTGGCCTCACCGCTCACTGTGGGGCTTAGCACACTACCAGCAACGGGATGCGGAAGGAAACAAGGGTCCGATCTTTTCTTTGCCTCTCTGCAAATCCAGCAGCTCCCCTTCTGCCTTTTCTCAGGGCCAATGCCCCCATCTCCCGCCTCCCATGTCCCAGGTGCCCTCCCCACTTGGTCAAGAGAGGCTGATCACAGCTACCTGGCTCCTGCAACCTCTAGTTCTAGTAATTTCTCATTCTCACATCAGCACCCACAATACATACCACTCACAATGCCAGGGAATCAACCCTATCTTCTCTTCGGGAAGGTAAACTGTATCCAAAACGGGAGGAGACAATCCTACGTGACAAAGTCAATACTGGACACAGAAACAGCAGTGGGAAATGCGGGAATTCTGGATTTCTCACAGCAGGAGCAATGGACCAGGTGCCAAGAATGGCAGGAGACAGGGCTCCCACGGCTCCAACAGTGTGGTCAGTGCTACCCAAGACCCTGCAAAGCCTCAACAGCTAAGTAGCGAGTACCCACTACAGCTTTTGTCTCCACAAAGAGTCAAGATCCCGACACGCCCAGAGTCCTGGCCCCGATGTGTGCCACACTTGCTCCCTCCCTCCCTCTCGGGGCCGACACCCAGCGGAGAAGTACCAACCTGAATAAACGATTTCTGTCTGCCAGTAATTGAAGGCAGCAATCCAGGCCTCAAAGTGATGGGCATGCCACGTGGCCACCTCCTGCAGTGCCGGCCCCGCCTCATTCACCTTTAGCAGGTGGAGCTGCCCCTTGGAGTCGCTGCTAATGATTTTCAAGGGCTGGTCACTGGCCCTAGACACAGGGAACCAATGGAGAAACCCAGCTGAATTTATTCACTGACCCAAACTCATCACCCTCTTCTGGTTCCCAACTGGTGACACTCCAAGACATGTCAAGGGAGAGGTTCTCCATGGACCTGGTCCATGGACTTGCCCTTTAAGATGTTTGGGCATCTAGCAGAAACCAAAACTACCACTTAGCTTATCAAAATAAACCCATGTCAACTTCTCTTGATGAAAACACCATCCCTTTTATCTGAAAAGTTGGAATGTTTTCTTTCTAGATTAGAACTGGTAAGTGATATTCCCAGACCTGGGAAGCCACAGTCAAGGCTGGTGGAAGGTTTCAATTCTCTCTTGCATAAAGAAACGAAAGATTCCTCAGAGGAAAGACTTGGGGTCCCTCACCAACACCGGCCTTTACCTTTCAGTTTTCCTGGTGGACCAATCCAGAGACAGGGCCAGACACTGCTTCTCCAGGGCAAAGCTGGAAACTGGCTGCAGTGTGTAAGCATTCTACTGGACGAGAAAGGAGCCCTGTCAAAGGGAAACAGCCCAGAACCCTGGAAAGACGATTCCTCTAGCTCAGGTGGCCATCATTCCTTCATCTACTACTAGATGAACAAAGTGTGTTAGTCCTTGATTCATCACAGAATGAGGACACTGGGGGCCTGGCCCCTGCTCTCCAGGAGCTCACACACCTGCAGGAGGACTTTCCCACACATGTGACCTGAGTGGAAGTGGGTCTCTCTGCTTTTCAGAACCCCTCGCTGTCCATGCACCCTAGACACAATCCCACCACCTACACGGGCTCCAGGAAGCACCACTGGCGAACCCTCCCCACTTCTCCCCGCCTCAAGGGATGCTGGGACACTCTGTCTTCAGGGACAGCGACAACTGGATCTTTCCTCTAGTTTCCGTTTCAGAAGCCACAACTAGCCATTAAACACTGTTTCTCTTTTCTAAGATACACGTAAGTTTTTTTTATTACCTAGGCAAGCTGGACAGTGCTTAACTCCCTCAAAAGGCTCCTAGCAGGCTGCTTCCTCAGGGTCCTCTCTGCAGGCTATCTGCTCTTGCCAGAATCTCGTTCATGGGCCCACAGTCTTCCCCAGATTATTCCCTCCCTCATTCCTCAGAGAGGGCTGCAGCAAGGCCCTTTACACACAAGCCCTCAGCTGCCATGACTCCGACAGCAAGGGGACCTGCTCCAGTCCCACACACCTGCACTAGTGTGTCCCTCCCACCAAGTGAGGGCTTGGTCTTGTGGGCTGTTTACTTCCCTCGACTACAGGACTTCCCAGTTCTCCCGATCCTCCAACAATCAGATGCAGTCATTCTGCAAACATGTGCTAATGATCAATACCAAATGCTCTGAGAAAGCCACATGGGAAACATACGCCTTCCTAATTATGGGTGACAAATACCACTTTCACATAGGGAATTCATTGCTCTTCTTGGCCCCAGCATCATGACCTAAGCATGCTGGTCCGGGCTTTCCATACAGAACTTTCAGATCCACTGACAGGTGAATGAATACCCTGTCAGTTCAGCCCTTCCACTGGTGACACATAGGTGACCTCTTCTCAGAGTTAGATGCAGAACCCAATAATTTAAAATAGACTACATGCTAGATTAGGATGTTTTATGATAAAGCTTGCCATTGAACAGAAATCATGTTACAAAAAGGTTTGTAGCAACACAGCCTCATGCCCAAACCCTCTCCATTCAGCTTCTTCCCACGCCCCGCTAGGACAACTCCTGGTCCTAGTCACTGACCTCAGATCCCACCAAGCGGAGTAGCTCTATGGACCCACCAGCATCTGCCACACCCAAGAGGGCATGGCCGGCCACCGGGATGTGGCACCTGAGGGGGAGAATTCATATGCCAGTCAGAACATAGGATACACCCAGAGCACAGGAGAGCATTATGTATCTCAGTAACTTATTATTTAAATTTCAGCTCCAAAACCAGGTTGTAGCCTACAGTTCTGTTCCAAGATTCCCCAGCTTATCAATCAGAAAACGAGCATCACTTCCCAGACTCATACCAACCCTAGGACTTGGAAACTGACCAATGAAAGGAGCCCAAGTCCACAGTATGCTCCAAGTGCCAACAGGTGGGCAGAACAATAAAGCAATGAAAAAGTTCAGACATTTCCCCATCTTATTGAATGCTGACAGGCATCAGGCTCCCTGATTAAATGAACAGATACTCGTGGGACGCCTGGGTGGCTCAGTCGTTAAGCGTCTGCCTTCGGCTCAGGTCATGATCCCAGGGTCCTGGGATCAAGTCCCACATCGGGCTCCCTGCTCAGTGAGGAGCCTGCTTCTCCCTCTCCCTCTACTGCTCCCCCTGCTTATGCTCTTTCTCTCTCTCTGATAAATAAATAAATAAAAATCTTTAAAAAAAATAAATAATAAACAAATGAACAGATACTCGTGACAAATTCCAGGCAAGAGGAACTGTTACCAACATTATACCATTTCATGTCCAGGATTGCAGAAGTCTCTCTTCTTTGGATCTCAAGCAGGGGGCAAGCAGAGCTGTCCTCATTGAAACTATACAAGTAGAGACGACCTAAACGGACTTGAGGCTCATCAACGTCCAGTCCACTCTACAAAAAATGCAGATGTATTCTCTGATTACCCTAATAGATACCGAGGGACCCAAGGGATGGGAAAAGGAATCAAGGGAAAGAAAAGGCTTGCCAAGATTCTGGGACTCTGGTGGCTCGGTAGGCGAAGCCTCTGCCTTCAGCCCGGGTCATGACCTCCGGGTCCTGGGATTGAGCACTGTGTCAGGCTCCCTGCTCAGCGGGGAGTCGGCTTCTCTCTCTGTCCTTCCCCCTGCTCGTTCTCTCTCTCAAATAAATAAAATCTTAAAAAACGAAACAAAACAAAAAGTCTGGAACTCTACCTGGAAGCAATACCCCTGATTTTCTGAACTGGAGAAATGTCTCTTCTCTTGTTATACTATTAGTGGGCAGGCAGATAAACTCTGCTGGGCTCAGCATAATATGCTCCCTTTTTTTTTTAAGTTTTATTTAAATAATCCCTACACCCAACGTGGGGCTCAAACTCACAACCCTGAGATCAAGAGTTCCGTGCTCTACCGACTGAGCCAGCCACAAGCCCCTAGAATGCTCCTTCTAAGTGGGCTAACAGGGACCAGCTATGGTAGGGTCGCCTTGGGTAGGCAGACCCAGTCTGCCCTGAAAGGTCGTGACTTAGGCCTGTTGCTGGAGTGCCAGTTCTCATTCTTTTAAGTGTCCTGGTTTGCGTCTGAATAGATGCCTTCGAGGGATCAGGTATAGCTCCTTCCAATTCCCATTTTCTCTCTATCCGAGGCTTCATCCATAGACTTGAGCCACACCTGCATATAAGGTACTTTCAAGACGCCCATTCCCATCGCCTGGCTGGCTCAGTTGGTGGAGAATGGGGCTCTTGCTCTTAGGGTTGTGAGTTGCACGCGATGTTGGGTGTAGAGATTACTTATATGAATAAACTTAGAAAAAAAAAGATGCCTACCCTAACCTACCTTCTGACCACAAGACCAATGTCTCTTCTCCGTCTCCTGTGTGCCTCCACACAGACTTTTCTCTTCCAGCCTTCCCCACCGCAGGCCCGCCATGCCTCCACATCTGCCCCACCGCAGGCC